CCAGTCTGATTCCATTTTAAAGAGCAGTTGGTCAAATTAGCAGGCATGAAAACAGGCATTCGGAAAGTTCTCAAAGTTCCTTCTACTGTACAAGGGACTGCAGAAGGCCAGAACAGGGCCTGGGGCAGTCAGGGGGGCTCCCAAGTGATTCCAGCTGCCCTTGCCAGGAATGCAAATGCTGTGGTCAGGAAGTGAAAGGGAGGGGGAGCAAGAGGTGCACTTGCTAGGAACAGGCCCCAAAGTGAGCCTGCCCCTTGTCACACTTGCTATAAGGGGTGCCCTCGGCCAGGCTCCTGAGACCAAGGGAGACCCTGGTGCAGCAGCATCAACTCCTGGGATATTGAGGGATGACATTCTTAAGTGACTACAGCATTTAGCCAGTCCAGGAGGCAGGATTCACACTTGTCTAAGAGGATTCCTTTCCTTTCCAAGCCTCAGCTCCACTGATCCTCCTATTTAAGGCTCTGCTTCAACTGGGCAAGCAATTCCAGTACAGCAGTCAGCTCATAAAGTGCTGTGCAGGGAGACGGGATGGGGATGGAGGCAGAGGCTGGGGAGAGGGCCTCTCGGCCATGTCCATTCTGATAATGGTGCTTAGTGGCAGCTTGCTTAGGCTAGAAGTGGCCTCTTGGGCCTCGGGTGGAAGAAAGCAAAAGGAGGGATGTCACAGGGGGCAATGACAAGCCCCACTGATCATGTGAAGCTGGTTTAGAGGGCTGGAGAGTGAGGAGCAAATCCAGGGGACAGGAACAGGAAGGGAACCTCAGAGGCTTGGTGACCTGGTTGGAAAGTTTCATAAAAGCCAGTAAAGAAGAACCTCCTGGCCCCAGCTTATGTCTTTGGCCTCTCTTCACCTGTCATCTCTCTCCAACACGTGGGAACAAGCTGGCACCGCCTCAGAAACAGACAGGAAGACAGCAGGGGCCTATCTGCCAAGTGGCAGGAACCTGCAGAGAAAGAAATTGACGGGAGGAACAGGAGGCCTCCCATCCCGCCTGGCTGATACAGTGTCCAATTCTAGCCCATCCTGAGCCTGCTGCCAGCCTCTTTCCCATCTTCCATTTGTCCACTGCCCCAAGCCATGACAGCCTGCCACACACGGGCTCTCAACCTGGATGTCTAAAGTGCGCCTCACTCAAGGGGCTTTTTGCCTGGTGTGGGGCACTAACAGAGATCATCCCCCCATGATCAGGACTCAGAGACCTTGGGACTCTCCCACACTTGGCTTTTAAGAGCCCTCAGGTCAGGCCCAGCCACCTCTCCCACCTAGCTGTCAGGGCCCTGCCCTTCACTGCCCCCCAGCAGCCTCCTCACTCACCACAGGCAGGCTGGCCCCTCGCAGGCCTCTCCTTTCTCTGTGATCTTTCCAGGTCCCACCGTTTCTACGAAACCCCTGTGACAGACAGCAGAACCCAGAGGTTCGAGGTTGGACTTGGCTCTGCCACTTGGGCAGCAGCAGCATCTCTGGATTCTGGGCCTCCTCCCGCTGCTGGTGGCGTTTGCCAGCCTCTCTGCACTGAACACTGGCCGCTGTGTTGTTTTCATTGCCCTATGTGCTTTGTTATCCCAGCTGGACCATCAAGCTCCTTACGCCACCTATGTTATTTGCTTTTTTGATTACATATTCATTCATGGTGGGAAACAGAGAAAAACTACTACACTCCAAAAAGGAACATGAAGCCACCTGGAGTCCTCTTGAGCTAGCCACTGAAAACATCCTGGCTTACTCCCTTGCACCCCTATGCATACATGTTTTCTTTTTCAGAAATTAAGATCATATTGTGAATTTCTGTGTCAATTTCTTCACTCAACACTACAAGGTGGAAATTTCCCCACATTAGAAATTCTTTAAAAACATGTTTTTTTAATGTCTACATAGCACTCTAGCATCAGGAGTGCCATCGTATATTCAATCAACACATCTGTGAAGGGTATCAGGCTGAATCTTCACACAAAACCTGTGCTAGCACGCCCGGAGCTACACATATGCCAAGCACCAATTACCTTCCTTCTGCGCTGATTAAATGCATTTCCTCCCTTCTCCTAAGAAAGCCCATTTCCTGTGGATAAGATTTGTGGTGAAAATGGAAACGATGCAGGTGCAGTGTGGTGGGCCCTTGGACTGGCTGGCAGGTGTGAGAGCCACTTTCCCTCTCTTCCTGTGTCTGCTGTTGGTTCCGCCCATCCTAGGGAGCACCTGGCAGCCCCCACTGCCCTGGTCCTGCCCCTCTAAATCAAAGGCCCTTTCTGTCTGTAAGCAAGAGAGTGTGGATACAGTTCAAGTTGCCTGCTTGTCCAGCTCAATCACCATATCACAGGAGGAAGAATAAGAGGATGTGACACCTGGAGGCCAAGACAGAGGTCTTCAATTTTCTGAAGGGCTTAAACATGTTCTGTGTAGTCCCAAAAGGTAAACCTGGGACCAAGAGACAGACACCATAGGAAACAGATTTTGACTCAATATAAAGAATGCTCTAAATCAGCCATGCAATGCAAAGGATGAATGGTGACTTCTTTAAAAAACCATCATGGCAGAGACTATCTGGAAGGGATTTGGCAGAGAGGACAATTAGGCCACAAGACGTTCCAGTCCCTTCCACCCTGAGAGGGAGCTGTGTGATGTGCACATATGCCCTGTACTTCTTCGACAACCCTCGGGACCCTGTCACAGGGAAATCCCACAGCAACACCTTGACTGTGAAACAGCCTCAGTTTCCAGATGCTCCTAAGTCACGTCCAGCCTGGCTTCCTGGAAGCTATTTGTGCATCTTGTAGAAGAGTCTCCAGGGCATTTCAGAACCAAGGGAAACGTCTGTAGCCTACTGAAAACCTAACTACATGGGACAGACTGTAGCTAATGTGATGCAAATTATACCACATGCAATGGGGGAATATTTCAATAACAGAAATGCTCCCCTTCCCATGTTTCCTTCTTCCTTTTTTCAGGTTGCTAAAACATAATTCCCCTGACAACCCATCTGGCCATTCACACATAGTTACCCATGATGCTCCGCACAGCTCCTCAGGCCACTCCAGGTATCTGAGGTCCTGGCTCAACCCAGGCATGCTGGGCGTCCCTTCTCGCACAGACTCCACCCGCCAGCAGCCAGAGCCCCCAGAAGGACTGAGCTGCAGGCCACTCCTGATGAGGGTCCTTCCAGCACAGGAACAGACGCATCTTATGGAGGCCCTGTCCTATGCATGAAGCTCTGGCCCAAGGCCACACTTCTCCAAAGAACTGCTCAGTTGCTCTCTGGCCCAGTCCTAAGGAGTCTTGGGCTATTCGAGGGGTAGGAGCCTTGTCCTTTCCCAGATCAGCAGAAGGAGGGGTGGGAAGAAACAGCTCAGCCTCTAGCATCTCAAAGTACAGGGAGGGAACACTCTAAGATCCCCCACTTGCCCATCCGGTGGCCAGCCTAAGGAAGGGGTGAGCTGAGGGAGGGAAGGCCCTTCAATGCTCTGAGTCAGGGCCAACCTGGGTCCCCACGCACTGCCCCCCCACCCCCAACTCCGTCCCGAGTTTGTCATCCTTCCCCGAGGAACATGGTGAGTCAGGGGTTAGGTCACAAGTACCATAAATATACTCAGTTTAACTTTTAAGAAGAAAAAAAATTGCTATTTTAAAACTTAAGATTTCTAAAAGCTGAAAATTAACTGCCCCAAAGCCAGCTTGGGAGGGGTGCTTTGTTGCAGACTGCAGTATCTTCTTCCTGGAGGTGGAGATGGCTCTAGGTGAGTTGGGTCTCTCCTGGAAGCCTCAGCTGGCTCCCTGGGCAGGCCACTATTTAGGAGGCCCCAAACACAACCCCATCAGTGAGAAACCCTCAGAAGCCCCCAGTGGAGAACGGAGTGCAGGCAGTATGAGCTGTGTGCTGACTCTGACCCTGGCCCCTCAACTGAGACAGCCGTGCAAGACAGGCACAGGCGAGAGACATCCCATCAGAGGGGGCAGGGCTAACTTGAACCAAGATGACTCAGGCTGGAAGGCGACAGAAAGCACATAGGTAGCTACACCCCCATCCCTGTATCCACAGAGAAGACAGAGGCTGGGCAGTACAGTGGTTAGAGCCTGCTCCCCAGATTCAGAGCACTACATGCACATTTCTACCCTGCCAATGACTGACAGTGTGACCCTGAGCAAGCGACCTACCACGCTACCTCATTTCCTTCATCTGGGCAATGGAGATTGACATGAGTCCACACCCCAGGGCTGCAAGGAAGATTCAATGAACCAATTTATGCAAGCCACTAAGAACGGCGCAAGCACACAGTAAGCACTAGTAAGAAGTGTCAGCAACCACAATCATTAACTGCGACTCAAATGCTTGCTCCTGGGGGCAGGCCCGGCCCATACAGATGACACGGGAAGGGCTTCCAAGAGAGGGGCAGTGACGGGTACCCTGCTCAGAGCTACTTTCTGAAATGACAGAGGGTACACCAGATCCTAAGCCCAGACTGGATCCCTATTCTGCAGGGATCCAGAGGAAACACCCTGGTTTCTCTTTTCTTTTTTGGCCCCTTGTGTTTTGTGAGAGAGCTTCTCAAAGAAGCAACCAAAACCTCCAAGTCATCAACTCAGCCTTTTCTTTGGGTCATCTCTGAGGCCATAGGGACATGAGGCTGTGTAAGCCTGGACTCTACCCCAGGCACTGGGCCTTGGCTGGGCAGGGAAGGGGTCCTTCTGCAGGAGGCAAGGCTCTTTGCTTCACTGACAACTCACTTGACAACAAAGTTTTGAAAAATAAATAAAACTCCTGGTGCCCAGCCTTGACCCTCCTTCTTGGGATGTGGATCTGCAGAGAGCTCCCTCCGGAGCTATTTCTGGGGTGGAGGGAGAGGGAGTTTTGAAAGGAGGCATGAGCCACCTGGCTGACTTCCCGGTATCTGAGTGACCTCAGTGAGCTTTCCCTGGGATTTGGGTCTACGTACTGTTGCAGACTCCTGTGGGGCCTGTTTCCACTGACAGCACGCTGCCGATGAGGAGGCCTGCAGCCACTTACCAGGAAGCGGACATCGTCAAAGCCATTCAGAAGCAACTTGCTCTCATACTGCTGCAGCCCAATCGACTCGAGCCACTCCCCGACACTCTGCTCCAGCGTCCGCGAACCTGACGAGAGAGGAATCGGCAGACGCTTGAAAAGGGAAAAACCATTAAGGCGGTAGCAGCGGCACTCAGAGGAAGACAGATGGCATTGCCACATCATAGTCATTACCATGAAATAGCCAAACTATATACAAGAGACTAGAGAGCAGCGGACACGCAGCTCCTCTTCTGTGTACAGCCAAGGACAGGACCACCTGGTGCTGTCCACACACTGCCCAGCCTCAGGCGGCTGCTGCCCACTCACACCCCCAGGTCTGAGCTGCTCCAGGGCCACAGCTGCACATGCACGGTCTCTGCCCACAGGTCGGGTTTGGGGGAAGCCAACCCCCAACAGTCTCCGGGTCAACTCCTCATCAGCGTGGGCGCTGAGATATTTCAGAAAGTCTGTCCCCACAGGCACTAGAGGGGGCTGAGGGCGCTGCTAAGTGCCCACGAGCCCCGCCGCTCCTCTCATCCATGCAACTTCTGGAGCCCCCACGGGGCTGTGGCGAGGAGCAAGTTCTGTGACCTTGCAGCATAAACCAGTCAGGAGAGAGCACACATCTTCATGCAGCTGAGGGAAACAGGCACACAGCGAGGGCTCCGGGAGGGAAGCAGCAGCAGTGGCTGTTCACCAGGACCCAGCACATGCAACACAAGCAGCACAGAACACGGCAGGGGGAGAAAAGAGACTTTTACTTGTTTTCCCCCAGCAGTCCCGGAATAAGCAAACCATGGCCACTGGCCCTTTGTACTCAGAGGTTCAAGGCAGCAAGGGGCTGAATGGGGCACATGGGCCAGGTCTCGCAGGGTCGGGCTCAGGTGTGGCTCTGCTGGGACGGCAGCATCGCATTCCGCCAGGCTAAGCGGCGAGCGGGCCAGGAGCCCGGTCCACAGCTAGACTCTGGCGGCTGGCGAGCAGGGCGTCTCCTGGGCCAGTGCGCTGTCTGAAGTGCTGCCTTCTTGGGCTGGGCTGGTTTTCAGGAGCTGGGCATTCATTTTCGTCTTCTGATAGTAGCTGTTCCTGTGACTCACCTGCCTGCTCAGGTGGACAGCAGGCAGGCACATTCAGTTCTTGGCTAAAGAAGACAAAACCCAACCAGATAAAAGCGATAGAAAAAGGAAGTGGTCCTCTGTCAGCTGAGCTGTGGTAGCTTAAGTCTATTCACGTCCTGCGCTGCTCTCTCTTCGGCTGAGCGATGAAGACAGCAACAGTCATCCCAGGGTCTCCGGATCTTGACGTTCTCCTCCAAGGATGAGCAGGGAAGGGAGGACATCTATTTGCTCCTCCGTCTGGATAGGGATTGTAGTGGCGCAGGGAGGACAGAAGTTCGGCCCTTTCTGGCAGACCTTGGATGTTCTGAGCTGGATGTCTGAACCCCAACCTACTTCTCTGATTCTTGTGGGCAAGAACAGATGAAAGAAGGAAAAAAGAGAAGAGGAGGAAAAAGAGGTACAAGGAAGGAAAAAGAAGAACCAACTATAAAAACATCACCTCCAGTGAACTCTTGACACGGTGAAAGTCATTCTGCCGTTCCCAGGTACTTTCTGTCCCTTGGGGCAGGACAATGACAACTTGCTTGGTTATCTACAAGACCCTGGTACCAACTGTGCCAGCCTCCACTCCCTCTCCTCTGTCTCCTGCAGAACAGATGGTGTCAGGGACCCGGGGGCCTTCTGGATGCACGCTGCCGCAGCCCTCCAAGATGCCGAGTCTGGGGGAATACTTGAGCTCCCTGCTCCTGAATGGGGAAATCTGCTCCAGGAACCTAAGCGGCAGGTTCTCGTATGCCCATGAAGTCAAGTGTCCCCGGGTGCTGATTCATTCTTGCTTGTAATCCCCCAGCCGGGCAGCTGTGGTCCTGCCTGCTGCCGGAGGATGTGCGCGCTGACAAGAGCCGCAGCAGAATGCTTTGTCTAAAGGCTCCTGGGCTCCACGCTGCCTGCTGCTGGCTCCACAGTCCTTGCTCACTCTCGTAATGTCTGGCCCTCCCCTTCCTCCCCTCCTCGCCCTCCCCCTTCCAAGCTCAGGAAAATACATCAGGGATCGGACATCACATCGGAGCAGAAGTGGCTGCTGCTGTGGCTGCTGAGGGAGAAGGAGACAGCAGCACTAGCATCATAGCAAAATGACAGATTTCCCACTATCTGATGTTGGCTGCACAAATGCGTATGAAGGGTGGAGATGTGAAACTTTACTTCCAGTTCCAGGGGCTGGAAACAGCTTGTCAGGAAGAATAGAGAGGGACCGCTCCCAGTTTCCAGGACAGCCAGGATAGAACAAAGGAATGACCAGCCCCAAAGGGCATAGCCCACAGGTAAGTGACCCCTCGCCGTCCCAACTTGCCACTTTGGAATGACTATGCTTCATCATAAAAACAGGCAATGAAATAAGGCCATTACACTTGATGTTCCCTAGGTGAGTATACCAAACAAATTAGAGACAGATTTCTCTTGGGGCCTGTTAGAGCCCAGCGGAAGAGCCCCATCCCCAGAGCCGGCCACTCACACTCTGGGGGAGGAGAGCAATGGCCAAGGACGTGTGGAAATCAGGCCCAAATCGCAAGTACAGATGCAGAGGGGCAAAAAAGATAAAACAGGTACAGGGACATAAGTCCAGGGACTACACATCATCCTCTAAATATGCTGGGAGATACTGGTATCCTGATAGTCTGTAGATGAGCCCTGGCAAAGAAAGAGTTCTCATCAGGCCCCAGAAGGGTCCTGCTTGACCAGCTACTCAACATCTAACATGGCTGGCTCTATCAGAAGACAGCCAAGCAAGTTCCCTTCTGCTTGATGGAGGTCTCTGTCGACAGAAGCCAAAGTGGCCTGGGCCAGGAGGGAAAGGTCACCCTCCTGGATTCCTGAGAATGGCAGTTGGCACAGGGATGAGTTAGCTGTAAACGCTTCTGTTGGGGATTCAGCTAACTAGCTCCAGTGGTGACAACCTAGGGGCCCATGGCCCTAAAACAGGCCTGAGACTCTAATGCTATGGTCGTGCCCTTCAGGTAAGGGTGTGGGCACCTCTGCAAAACCAGTGATGTTGAGCAATCCCACACTTGCTGCAGGGATGCCGGCTGGAGGGCCTCTTCTTCCTCCACCCAGACTGCTGACCCCAGAGCCCAGATCTTTTCTCTCTGATCCTGAAACCCAACCCAAGGACAATCTGAACCCTGATACTGACAAGTCAAAATAAACCGTGATTCTGTTTTGGTCTGAGCTGAAGATGGTACTCCCTGAGATCCTGGAGAAATACCTCTCCTGACCCATCAGACAGGGTTCACAGGCAGGCCTGAGCCCATCCTTTCTATGTTTCAGAGCCTGGCAGTGGTGCAGACACAGCAGCCTGGCGTTCTGCAGCACGGGCGGATGAACCCTCTGTTTAGGTGGTCCCCCACATGTGCCTGCTCTTGACTTTCCCAGGCTGTACTATAGAGGATGGTTCACGAAAATGACTACTAAACCAAGACTGTGCTGGGATCCAGAAACCCAAGGGTAGAGGCAGACTGCCTCACAACACTCATATGGGTTTATGGGAGAACAAGAACTGGTAGGTGGGATCAGACAGGAGACCAGACGTCACGGGAAAGCTCGGCATTCACACTTCCAAGGGGAGGGCTCTTCCTGAGGTGCTGCCACATTGCCTGGCTTAGCAAATCCAAGAGGCAATGGCTGTTTCTGACTCCCAGCTCTCAAGCGCATGCAAGTGATTTTGGCTCCTGCTCCTTGTACGCAGAAAGCAGAAAGCATCCTCCATGGAACTCACTGCTATCCATCCCATCCCTGTTGTCAAAGCACTGCTTTGAAAATGGTAACAGTGTTTGTCTCAGTCCTGAACATCTATTTCCTATAAACACTCAACCCTTGGAAAAGCCTGTAAATGACAACAGAGCATGAGATTGTTTGACTGACTGAAAGAAACAGATCCTAAAAACAGATCCACAAACTTAGACAGAAAAGCCACCTCTGCAAACTCCAGCATAACCCAAGACTGATAAAAATGGACCAAGCCCAGCTCAGCCCTCTCTGCTAGAACCCAGGGAAACACTGCTGTGGAGGGGACGGTGGCTCCAGGAACCAAGACAGCTGATGGAGGGAGACTAGCCAGGGAGCAGAAGCCTCTGTCATCTAGGTTTCTCGATATGAGTAAAGCATGATTTCACGGACAAAAAGGAACATAGGGCCCAGCACAGTGGCTCACGCCTATAATCCCAGCATTTTGGGAGGCTGAGGCAGGTGGATCACGAGGTCAGGAGTTTGAGACCAGCCTGACCAACATGGTGAAACCCTGTCTCTACTAAAAATATAATAATTAGCCAGGCATGACGGCACGTGCCTGTAATTCCAGCTACTTAGGAGGCTGAGGCAGGATAACTGCTTGAACCCAGGAGGCAGAGGTTGCAGTAAGCCAAGATCATGCCATTGTACTCTAGCCTGGGTGACAAGTGAGACTCCATCTCAAAAAAAAAACAGTTACTATTTATTGAATATCTCTTTAGCTGAAGTATTTCTATCTACTACTCATTCACAGCAAACCTGTGAGGTTGACACTATTATCCAAAGGTTGCAGATGAGGGGTGAAGGGTGCAGAGACATTAAGTGACTTGCTAAGACATGTACGTCTCTATAGCCAAGATTTGAACCCAGGGCTGTGAGGCTCCAGAGACCAGGCCATCCCCACCAGGCCCTGTGGTCTCCCATGATCCTTTTTCCCTGATGTGCACACTCAAAGTCCACCCATTTGACTTCCTGTCAGGACCACAGAAGCCCATGGAAGAACCAGAGATGCCACTCGAGACTGACAGGTCAATCCCGGATGGAGCCTCCCAAGTGAGCAAGAAGTTCCGCCCCTTCAGTGCAGAGAGGCATTTCCATGAGGGTGAGAGGCCAGGCTCCTGGCTGGGCTGCTTTCAGCCTGGATGCTCCGGTGCCCAGACCATCTTCGGATGCTTGGGGGAAGAGGTGTGAGACCTGCTCTGAGAGGCACCTTTAAGAGCATCTCACCTGAGAAAGCAACACAGCGCAATCCTATTATCAGAGAAAACAGCTCAGATAGCCTCCCCATTCCCTGTTTCAAACAAAGAAAACAGAAGCTGACCTCACTACTAGGGCTTAGAAAGAATGATCAAAGTAGCAGTGACATAGTGTAAGAATGGTAAATGACAAAGTAAACTGAGGCGCAGGGAGCTGTGGGAAGAGGAAACGGCACAGTCAACCCTCCCAGGCGATTCACATGCATGCTACGAGTCCGAGACCCCTGGTCTAACCCAATGCTCTGCCACTGTCATGGATGAGACTAGAGCTGCCTTGGAAGCTGCAGAGACAACTGCTATTTTTTGTAAAGGAGGGGTTTCGCCATGTTGTCCAGGTTGAACTCAAACTCTTGGACTCACGTGATTTGCCCACCTTGGCCTGGCCTCCCAGAGTACTAGGATCAAAGGCATGAGCCACTGTACCCAGCTATTTTTTATTTTTTGTAGAGTTGGGGGTCTCACTATGTTGCCCAGGCTGGTTTCAAACTCCTGGGCTCAAGTGATCTTCCTGCCTTGGCCTCCCAAGGTGCTGGGACTACAGATGTGAGCCATCACACCTCGCAAGCTTCCATTTAAAGTGGATGAAAATGAGGATGATACTGCCTCTTGTCCAGGGTCGTGTGAATTAAAAGATATCATGTACATAAAGCACCTGGCTGAAGGTCCAGCTCACAGTAAGTGCTGAGATAGACTCCGATCTAAGCCAATATAAGAAAGCCCATAAAACAGTGAATAAATGATGATTGTTCATCTAAAAAATTTTCATAATAGGAAGCTTTAAAATTCATTTTGTACCATTTCCCCTCCCATATGTAAAAGGAGTCATGGCTCTAAAAATAATAGCAAGATGGGGCTGTCTAGATATTGGAGACTGAATTGTAGGAGCATAATGTGGTCTGAAGCTGACCTCTCCCACCCCCGAACGTCTGTCTTCTGTGTTAGAGGAAAGCCTGAGCCAGGAAGGAGCCAGACTGCCAAGGTCTGTGGAGAAAATGGCTACTTGGTCCGGTACCTGAGATCTTCTGCCGTTCCTGAGAAAAGTCAATCCCTTCTCCAATAGAGCTCATGATTTTCTCAATCTGAAATGGAAGAAAAAACAAAGAGGAGAGGCAGTTAGGCTTGGGATAAACATTGCCAGCTCACCACCAGCACCACTAGGGGCTGAGACCTCCAGGTGTCTTTCAGATGCTTCCTAGACCAGCACCAGCCTGCAAGATATCAGGACCCTCTGCTGCTCAGATCCAAGAGAGGCCTTCTCTAGTACCACAGGGTCTGAAGTACTGCTCTGAACGGAGTGAGATGGTTGACAATCTGAGCTTAGCTGCTAGAAATACCAAAGAGCCTCCCTTTCGAGGCATCTCTATTTCACTCCCCAGCAGTTCTCCCAGACCAGCAGAGACTGGGGAGAGGCTGCAATCACAGGCCAGACCTGGCCATTTCATTGCTCACGCTAGACTTTAAGTTCCATGAGAGTGGAGATTTGCCAGCTTTGTTCCATGCTACCCTGAGTGCCTAGGGTAGTGCCTGGTAAACAATAAGCATTCAGCAGATGATTGATATTGTATGACCACCAGCTCTGGGGAGTGAGGACGATTTCGAGAGTACCTGCACATAGGAACCCCTGGGAAAGCAGGCAATTACACCTGAATGGAAGGTCTTTTGCTTCTTGGAGGCCAGCAGTCCTGGATAGAGCTCTGTGTTCAGGGGATGAGAAGGGGCACAGACACCTGTCCCTCCTCTGGACCACAGCCGAGAAAGCTAGTCTGAAACCATCCAATGTCTCCAGCACTGCCCCTAGTATGGACCTCCTGTCCCAGCCATCTGGCCTCGGTCACTCTAGGCCGGATCCAAGCCCCTTCCCCAGGAAACCTGGCCAGGGGCAGGACTAGGCCGTGGGGAACAGCCACCTTCTCTTTTTCCCTCCTCCTCCTTTTTGGGTTACAGTGATAATGAGCTCATTCACTGCTCTTTTCCCAAAGAAATGAAAAGAGGACCTTTTGTACCAGGGCTTGGATGCTTTTTCCTCTAAGTGCAAGTAAGGAACCTGGGTCAGACAATCAGAAAAACAATTCTCCAGCCAGCCTCCAGCTGGCAGACAAAGCCGCACATCTGACACCCAGCAGAAAAGCACAGAGCAAGCACCACCTTTCCTCAGGCAGCCAGGGGCTCAGGGAGGTATCTTCCTCCAGCCGCAGAAGCTGCTGCTGGCTCAGGCTGTCACTCGATTACCTGTTAACCAGATTGCAAGCCCCTTCCCTGAGCTCAGCAAGGAAGAGGGAAATAAATCTGATCCCTGGAGCAAACTGGGGTTGTGTCTCTACGTACTGGCCCCAGCAGCCCAGAGGCACGGGGAGGAGGGATAGAGTCAGAGCAAGTTGGCTCTGCCCCTTGAAGAAAATGCCTCCCTCCACCCTCATCACTTTCTTTGGCCCTGCCTGTTTCAAGTGCTGCCTCCTTCAGCAGGGGCAGCATGATACAAGGGAAACTACCCAGACAGACAGGCGACTATCCTCACCCTCCCAAAGCTTCCATTTATTTTTATTTTTATTACTCTTTTTTTTAAATAGAGATGAGGTCTTGCTATGTTCTCCAGACTGCTCTTGAACTCATGGGCTCAAGTGACCCTCCCATTTTAGCCTCCCGAATACAAAGACAACAGGTAGGCACCACCATGCCTTGCTATTTTAATTTTTATTTTTTTGAGGCAGGGTCTCGCTTTGTCGCCCAGGCTGGAGTGCAGTGGTGTGATCATGGCTCACTGCAACCTCCACCTCCTGGGCTCAAGAGATCCTCCCACCGCAGCTTCCCTAGTAGCTGAGACTATAGGCTTGCCAGCTCACCAAAATTGCCATTTTTGTGGTACCACATCTGGCTAATTTTTTGTTATTTTTTGTACAGGCAGGGTTTCACCATGTTGTCCAGGCTGGCCTCAAACTCTTGGACTCAAGAGATTTGCCCACCTTGGCCTCCCAGAGTGCTAGTATTATAGGTATGAGCACTGTACCTGATGGGGTCTTACTATGTTGTCCAGGCTGGTTTCAAAATCCTGGGCTCAAGTGATCTTTCTGCCTTGGTCTCCCAAAGTGCTGGGACTACAGGTGTGAGCCTCGCACCTGGCAAGCTTCCATTTAAAGTGGATAAAAATGAGGATGCTACTGCCTCTTGTTCAGGGTTGTGTGGATTAAAAGATATCATGTACATAAAGCACCTGGCTGAAGGCCTAGCTCACAGTAAATGCTCAGTAGGAGGTTAGTTTGCTTTCCACTTCGAGTGCTCCAGCCTAGTAAAGCCTATTTTTAAAGCTGTAAAATATTTTTACTTGCATTCATTTTTTGATACATTCGCATGATTCAAAATTCAAAAGATACAAGACGTTACTGGGAAAAAAGTCTCCCTTACCCATCTCCCAGTTGCTTCTCCCGCATCCTTCTATTCTACTCATATGTACAGCGTACAACTGTATTTTATTTGCCTTGTCACCGCTGGGCCTGGCACATGGTAAAAAGACAACCTATTGAATGAATCTGTGAATGAACCAAAGTGTAGTTTACATTTCTTCAGAGTCTGCACTGAAAAAGCTGTTCTCTACACCAGGGTGCTGGGGAAGGAACGGACTGAAATGGTGGGGTGACTCCAAGGTATCCTTTGAAATAAAGTCATCTATATTACATATTTCATTATTATAATAATCACTTAATATCTGAAGCCCCAGCTGGCCTGTCCAATCAGCATCCCTTGGTGGTATAATTTGTGAAATTTTGCTGACGGGCCTTTGGGCATCAGAGTGAACGGATGCTTGCCAGGAGTCGCCAGCTAGTCAACTGACATAGGCCAGCAGAAGCCCAGGTTTCTTTTATTTTTTTTTGAGACATGGTCTCACTCTGTCACTCGGGCTGGGGTGCAGTGGCGCAATCAATCATAGCTCATTGAAACTCTGAACTCCTGAGCTCAAGGGATCCTCCCGCCTTAGCCTCCCAAAGTGCTGGCATTATAGGTGCCTGACCCGGAAATCTGGGTACCTACCCATGGGTGGGTATGTGAGGTGTTCCAGATGGCAGACCGGCTGGGAAATGCTAATGGATACTCTCCGAACGATTTTGCCCGGGCTAGGAAGTTGTTTTATTGTTCTGTGAACTGCTGTGGCTGTTAGCTGAGCTGATTCTAGTTCCAGAAAAATCTCAGCGTCCTTGGCAGCCTATAACCCCGGACTCCTTCCTCAGCAACTGGAACTTCCTTGGTAGAAGCTCCGGCCCAGGAGGGACATGGCAACGAAGAAGCCCTGTTTGGGCAGAGATTGGCAGGCCCTCCTCCCTGGCACCAAAGCAAAGCGTCTGGAACTGTGGTCCGCCCAAGCCCTCAGCCTGGGCTGTGGAGATGGGGAGGAGCTGGAGCGCATCTCTCCTTGCCTCACCTGCATGGTCCACAACCAGCAGAGAGGAAATATGATCATTTTAGTCTAGACAAAGAAAAGTATTCAGACACAGCAGATATCATTCTGATCTACACACTTCATGCAGTTTAACCTCCTAGGCTTGAGTTAAAAAACAATCTGAATAGGCAGCTTTCCCAGAAATGTTCTGCATTTCAGGAGAAGAGGCAGGTGAAATGTAATGGATGGGCACCATTTAGTGTTCCCTTCTTTTTCTGTGGTTCTGGATGAGTGACACTTCAGAGAGAGAGATGAGAAATGGCCATGCTTCCTTATTACTGCACTTCACGTGAACTGATGGAGAACTTACACTTGTGTTTGTTAATATAAGAACTTGAAAGTTATCAGTATAATGGACTCTTGTCTTCAACGAACACTTGGAAATACTCCATTTTCAGAAAGTTTTCAGGATGACTCTGTTTAGACTATTTTTCCCTGCCAGGGCTGTGTGAAATGTATTCCCCATATGGCTAAAAACAAGAACAAAAACAAACACTGGAGATACTGCTGCTCAGGCCATCTGACATCTGCTTGTTTAAACCAAAGGATTCTGGTTGCCCACGGGCTGGCAATGGGAGGTGGAGCTCTGCATGGGTAGGCCTCCATCCCTCATCACCAGGCAGTGAGTCATGCCGATCGATGACGCCTGGCTTTTTAATAGATACTGGGAGTTGAAGGAGGGGGAAGAAAGAGTTGTGATGGGTCTTCTATGTGCCAGGAAGTATGCTGGGCACAGGCAGACCATAAGCTTTGGTGCAAGTTGGCTCCAAGGCCCATGGGAAACCTCCCTTTCAGGATGCGGTACAAGTTATGGCTGTGTGCAGGACTACCACATGGGGCCAAATATCAGGACAGCAGGAATCAGTCTGGTCAACATGTCTACAAGTTGGGGCCCCACACAGAGGAGGATGGGAAAGGAATCGCTTTCCTTTGGTGTAAATGGGAGGATGAGAGAAGTTTCTGCAACTGAGTTGGTGCCTGGCATCAGACATTCCCTCCCAACCCCCTTTCTGCTGCCTGGGAGCTGTTGGTGCCCTAGGACCACCTGCCCCCAGCCCCGCAGTTGGAAAACACACACCGGTCTCCATAGGCCTGAGACACAGGGCTGGAGACACCTTCCACCTTGCCTCTTCCACTGGGCCCTGATGACCTTATTGGCCCAGAACGCCTTGTGCTTTGCATGATTACTTCCCTGATTAACTGTTTTATGGTGTATTCCAGAAACACTAAAGAATCATTCGGGGTAAAGACCCTGTGTCATGCTGTATTTTCTTTAGGTCCCACCATATGCCTTGTACACAGCTAGCATGTTGGTGGTGTTCGGTGACAAACATTTGTTAGCTATCGCTAATACACTTGCCATTTTTATGTTAACAGAATAAGGGGGAAAGGCAACTAACACTCTCCCTTCTGGACCAGTCTGAATTCTCTAACTCCCTTTCCCTCCTCATTTTTATGTTTCTCGACTCTCTGGGTTGCTGGTACAAGGTTGGCACTCCCCCAAAGCACCTCACACTCCACAACTTCCAGCTGACCCCTTCTCTGAGCAATCCTGCAGAGCCTCGATGCACA